AAGGCCCTGGTGTCCTGCTCACCCCTGCTATACCCACGGCCTGCCAGAGTACGCAGCCAGTGCTGGGAGAGGCAGGCAAATGGCATGGGGAGCACTGAGACTCAGGAGGAGCACATTTTAGGGTCTCACACCCACCCAAGCATTAATGTGCCCTGGGAGAGAGGGGGAATGAAGGCTTCCGCCCATGCACAAGCCCTTTGCTTTCAATGCTGCCTCTTTAAGACATCACTTAATATGACAGATCAATTAGTTAATGTTTGTAAAGTGCTTTGAACATAAAAAGTGCTGTATAAGTGCTGAGTATTAGTATCAATTATTATGGCATGGAGGTTGGCCCCATCTGAGCAGCATTCCCCATGCCTCATTTCAGGCCCTTGCTGTTGCCCTGCCTCTGTTGCCCCATTCTGTAAACCCAGAAGGAGAAGGGGAGAAGCAGAGAGGAAAAAGTAAGACCATCTGCACCCTGTGAGGAAGAACCACCTCATGGAGTTGTGTAGGGGGGCTGCCACGCACCCCCTTTGTTCCGGGCAGGGCATCATGTGGGAAGTGGATCTGCATCTCCCCAGTGCCCCACTGGCATGGAGGGGATGAGGGAGCACCCTCTTGCCCCCAGCTCTGCAGCAGGCCAGGTTGGAAATAACACAGGGAGGACGGAGAAGATGTCAGGGGGGTTCTCCAGCTCATCCTACCGATGCCTGGGTGGGAGCACACAGCACTGGTGGCAGCTTCAGAGCTTCAGGCAAGGGGATGACGAGTGGGTGGGATGGTTTTGGGGTCTGTGAGCTAGACGGGGCGGGGAGGTGGCTACGTCCTAGACATGCGCATGGCAGGGCTGGGATCTCCCCAGTGTCGCCCCAGAGCCATTGCCTGGCCTGCTTTGCTTCTTCTCCCCTCCTCATGCCCTCCTTTTTGGCGAGGCTGCTCCCAGGAAGCGTCCCGGGAGGAGGAGCAGAAATGGGGCATCAGGCGCCCCCAATTACCTTGGCGCTGAAGCATCCCGCCGGCTAGCCCTGGAAATGTGTGTGCTGACAGACATGCCATGCTGGTGAAGGGTGGGCGCAAGGTGCTACCAGGGACCCAAAGGAGAGGGGTGATCTGGAGAGGGTTGGGCTGGAGAGGGGGCCAGGGAGGGCCAGAGTGGGGACCCACAGGTGCTGGCCAGGGGATTGGGATGTGAGCACTGGTATTGACCTGCATGAGGTGCAGCGGGCAGCCAGAGGACTGCGGTGCTGTGATCGTGCTGTAATCATGCTGCATCTGCCGGGATACCTTCCGGGTGTGCCTTCACCCCCCTGTCACCGTGCCAGCGCCGAATTAACCCCTCTGACTCCACCTGCCTGTTCAACTTGTGGTCTTGCTTGCCCACCATGGGTCAGACCCTGGCCACATTTCAGAGGGGCTTTACTCAGATGGCCGCCGTTCCCTGTCACCCCTCCAGTCTGGTGGGGAACCTGCTCCACTCCAGAAAGTCATGGAGGGTCCCATGGCATGAAGGAGCTCAGGGGAAAACGAGGGG